CGGACCCCACACGGGCCCAGCGATGGAGAGGGGCTGTACACACGGGCCCCACAAGAGCTCCCCAGCGTGCTGGGACCGTACCCGTGGGCAGCGAGACACGGATCTCACAGGGGCTGAGACAGGAACGGGCACTGCCGGACAAGGCACCGAGAAGCCGCCGCAGGGATCCCCGGCCGGCTTTGCCATCACGGCAGCGCTCAGGAGCTCGCTCATTGCAATAGGTGGTACGGTAGGATATACAGGGAATAAAGAAGATCAGAACTGAAAGAACATCAGAAGCGGGCGCAGGGCCAGGTCTTGCTTGTCAAGGGTTAGGTTTAAAGTACGTTCGTAAAGTCAACAATTTTTTCCCGATTTCTTATTTAATCTGACTTTGATAAAAATGTGTAATTAGTTAATTTGCCAGTGTAAATACTACTATTATTTCTGGCAAAAAGGAGTGCTTTCCTGCCATACTTCCGCCCCTAGAGACTTATATGACTTATATGCTAGAGACTTATATCTGCTAGAGCAGATATGTAACTATTCGTCCTTCTGCTCTTGTTCATATTTAGCCCTAGGTCTAAATTTGTATGAATTGCAAGAAGTGCTGTAAGTTTTGACAGCTTTTGATTAATTGTTTCTTTGTACTCTGCACTTATTATAGTACAGCTAACTCCTGTTTTCAGTATCAAACTTTCAAACTTTTGCAGTTTTCTACACTCCTGGCCTCAGAAATCATGAACTTCTTAGCTCCACTGCGGCAAGGAAAAACTGAAAAATGCAATATTGTTGTAGCTATAAGATCAAAGAACAGGAAAAAACAAAAAAAAGTACCCAAAGTGTATTTAAAATACGACAACTCAAAGACTGCCTTGGGATGAGCTGTTTTATCAGTAGTACAAGTTCAACACTAATAGTTGCATTTATAGGGTTTTCCCCTCCCTTTTCCCTGCTTACTGTCCCTCTGACACACACCTAAGTGTTCTCATGATTGGAACATCTCTGAAAGTGATGTAAGATGAAACTAAAATTGTGTTGCAAAGAACTATATAGAAATAGGAAGAAAAGACTTCTTCCCCTTGGGTACTGGAAAAACTTGTGAAACCACTTGGACTATTTGCCTCAGCAGGAAACAAGGGGAAAGAACATATCCAATTGTGTGTATGACTTCAGTTCTGCTCTGAGTGTTACAGGTAATTCAGCAGGACTGAATGGGAACTGAAATCGACTGAACACAGACTGAACAATCCTGGATATTCCTGCTGCTCCTTCCCTTTCCCACGTGGTGTGGGCAGGACTGTGCACTGCTGTGTGCTCTCCCCGAGCCCCTGGACGCTGCACAATGTCAGAACATTTATTTCTCGGGGGTTTCTCCCGTTCAGCCCCCTCGGGCTGGCCCTGCCGAGCTGTTGTGGACTGGCTGAAACCACGCAGTGCTAACGCAGCTGCCACAAGTAAATGACGGCTTTCACTCGTTACTAACCCATCTGAGTAACTACATGGACACTGCATTTCCCAATCTTCATGTGTTAAAGCCAGCTGGGGTTTCTCCAATTTCTAATTCTGATCCAAAAGAGCACTCCAGAACAGAAAAATACACTCTGGTAAGAAACACGAGAAATCACACACCCCACCCAACTCAGAAATACCCAGAACGTGTGTGCCATGTACAGACTGTTAAACCCAACACCTAATACCAACTAGCTTATAGGAAAAGCTGCAGCCAAGCAGGCCAGGCTCTGCAGAGCCAGGCTGTAGCAGAGCTGCCATGCCAGCTGCAATGCACAGCCTCCCTCAGCAGGAGGGAACCTCCCCTCAGGTCTGCTCAGGAGCAGAGTGCAGCACTCCCTGCCCCTCAGGTCTGCTCAGGAGCAGAGTGCAGCACTCCCTGCCCCTCAGGCTCCCATGGGCACTGAGCCATGTCTGCTCCAGACGCCTGCATGGGCTCTTTTCCCCTCAGAGATCTGTGAGAGGTGGAAAGAGCAGAGCTTGACAGCAGCCCCATTCCTGCCCAGACACTGCCTGAAGCTGTGCTGAGAGGTCATGAGAGCCACAACACAGCCCTGCAGCACCAGGCTGGGCAGGCTGTACAGTCCAAAGTGCCTGTTTGCTGATCAACCACAATGAGTATCACAGGAATACAAACACAGAGGCGCTGGGGAGTTACCTGACAGAATTACAGTTAGAAAGCTAGCATGCATTTTCATTTTTATGTCAAAGATCAATTTCTTCAAATATGTAAGAAAAACAAGTTTACAAACAGGGAGACATTCCATACTTACAAAATACATTGAGATTCTCGGTTTCACAGCTACTCTCAGAATATACAACTGGAGGGAAATGCATTCACAGAAATAACCTGCTGTAATCAGTCTCCAGCCAATCTGCTTCTAACCTGAGCTGCACCACATCTTGCTCAATGGACAGTTCATGTAACACTGAACTACGCTGCTTTGAATTCTGTGTGTGCATTCACACAAAAGCACATTCCACTGAGACGTGGGGAACAACAGAATACAGGCAAAGAAATACTATCTCTCTTCCTCCAGCCTTCCACTAAGCATGGCCCTGTTTGTGAGCTGTCTGTGTGAGCCAATACAGCTCCCATTGCTCCTGAGATGACACGGGCAGCTCAAGAGGCCCATGCTCCCTGAAAAGGCCAACTACGACCTGACTACAGCACTGTGAGGGAAAAAGACCAAACTTAAAGCATCTACCTCCTGTGAACCCTGTACAGGCTCCTGGGGAAGCACCTGTGGGGGACAAGAGTGTCCCAAAACTAGGTTCTGGTCTGTGTGGCTGAGATCAGCCAGGCAAGAATCCTATGACAAAGGCAAATAAGGCATTTGAGGTATGACAACAGTAAAAACCTGTCAGACCTAGTGTGGATACGACATGGCTTTGTACGTGGAAAGGTAAGAGGAAGAATAACCTCCAAGCATTTACACATCAGCTTTCCACTAAAGTAATGTTTGTCAGGCCCTCAGGCACTGCTGGAAACCCTCATGTACAAACCCCTCATACTGTGTGACCCACAGGCACATTGAGGTTACATGTCAAAGGGAAATTCCATCAAAACAAATTACTCAAACAAAACTGATGACTCTTACAACCATTAGTCTGGGCTAAGTTAACCCTTGGTGTAATTTGCTTTCTAATAGAATGAAAGTTACTTTGTATGAATATTTTCCATTTAGCTGCCCTGATCTTACCCTACAGTTTGCAATACATGTAATGAAGAAAGGAAATGAACCATCAGAAACCAGCATGCCTCCAGGTGCTGTTCAGTCTTTGACTATTGATTTGACTATCACCGATGTTACTGAGTTTATGTTTCAAAACTTTAAACAGAGGCATCAGTTCTTGGTGCGTTTCCTGGCGACTCTCGCTGCTCAGACTCAGTGGTTTGCTACTGAGGAGTTATCATGATTTTCCATACTTTTGTTCCTCAGTGCTTCACTTCTCTCCAGAGAAAGCCGCTGAAGATCCTTCCAAATATCAGGATGATCCTCCAGCTCTTCATATAGGGACTGAACAATGTCCAGTTTCCTGTAGTCCACTGGGCTGACCAGACTGCGCACAACCTGCAGACATCTCTCCTTCAGGGTGAACACTGCAGTTAAACACAAACACAACACAGCCTTGTCACGAGGGCTCTCAGCTGCTGCTGCAGAGCCCCCGATGCTGCTCTGAGCATGTGAGCACAGAGCACAGCCCGCAGCAGTGACCCACGACAGGCTGAGCTCTCCAGACAGGAGGCAGATGTGGTTCCTGCCATGAGGCACCTACGAAAACCCCTCAGAGACCCCTTCAAAGGAGAGGTCTGCCACTAGTTCCACCCAATTCAACAGCTCTACCTACAACTCTCACCATCTCTTCCAGTATCTAAGGAAGTTTAATTACCTGAGGATCTGATTTCTCACTAATGCTAACAGGTCCAAAGAGGCCAAGTTCAGAATTCCTTGGGGCACACGTGGTCCTACCCCTTACCTGGCAGTGTGATGTCAGCTTTGGTCACATTGGGGGCTGCCACAAACAGCTCCTGCTGGTTGACGAGCAGCCCGTCGTTGGTCCCGGCATCCCGGAACAGCCACAGGTGCCCTGGCAGGGAACAAGGTGGGGATGCACCAATTACGGCACTTTTTAATGAGTGGCTCGGAAGGGCATCTGCTCACAAGGGACCAAGCTCTCCAGCTTAGCTCTGTGTGCAGCCACTACCATGGCCCCAGTCACTGAATGGAGAGGGGAAAGGATAAAGGGGAAAAGGAAAAAGAAAGGAAAAGGAAATGGGGAAAAGAGAGGGGACAAGGAAAAGAAAGAGCAAGAGCAAAGGAAATGGAGAGAGAAAAAGGAAAAAGGAAGGGAAAGGTAAAAGTGGAAGAAGGAAAAAGGGAAGAGAAAGGAAAAAGGGAGGACGGGGAAAGCAAAAGGGTAAATTCCACCGCCACCAGCTCACCAACCCGGGCCCCGCGACGCCCCAGCCCGGCCCGTCCCGGCGCACTCACCCCGGTAACTGTGCATGAGGCGCCCGCTGCGCGGCTGCAGGACCGGGTAGCGGCGCGGCTGGCCCTCGAAGTCCAGCCAGACCGGCAGCACGCAGCGGGGACTGTGGTTGTTGAACACGACCTCGGAGAGCTCCCGCGTATTGACAGAGCGCAGCACGGGCCCGGCCCCACCGGGGCGCTCCGGGCCTGGCGGCGACATCGCAGCCCCGCGCCCGCCCCGGGCCGGCCGCGCGCATGCGCCAGGGGCGGGGCAGAGAAACTCCGCCCCCGATGGGCCCCGCCCCCTCAGTGGGCACCGCCCCC